TCCTGAAGCATCTTGAGACAACACAGGTGTGAATGGAGCTCCATTTCCATATAGAAAGTAACTTGTTTTGCAGTAGGTTACTTCAGCACGTTTTTAAGTAATACAAAGAAAGAAACTTAAAATAGGAGAGGTGATTTTTCTTAAGGTGTCTGTGGGATTACTCAATGTCTGATCTGTAGGTGGTGGTTTTTTGTTTGGTTGGGTCTTTTTCCTTAAAGGCTTCCTAATCATCCTTAAATGATTTCCAAATAAGTCATTATTGGAACCAAGATCAAGTCTGGGCACTTAAATGATTGAGCGGTTTAAAGGATTAGGATAGATCATGGAGCCAGTCACTAATTTGAAATGTGTCCAGGGGTGAGTTGTGATTGTAAACTATGCTGGCAGCTGACAGCTTTTCAGAAGTCTGTGTAGCCAGAGTTGGTTCTGTATTAACGCTTGACTTCTCCTCTCCCAAAAAAATGTTGCTGCAGATGGCACTACTACTGATGAGTCCATAATCAAAGAGCTTTTCTCACTGCTGCTCCTGGCCTCTGCATCAGGGCTGAGGTACACTGGTTAGACACTGGGAGGTTTGGGGCTTTCCCCATTTGTGGACAGAAGAGGGACTCGTGCTTTGGGGATTTGGGCATCTGTAACTTTTCTTAAAGCCTTATCCTTCCTTCTGCCCTCCCAAACACCTTGGGGCAAACCTAAGGTGCATAGGGGCAGGATCCCCTCCTGCAGGAAACAGCTGATGTTTATATCATGCAGTTAATTTGCCTAAAGAAACAGTGTCTTTATTGCCATTTTAATTTCACAACCTTTTTTAATGTCTCTGCTTTATGTGGAAAGAGTAGTCCCAGGACAGGTGTTCTTATCTTTGTCCCTGAAGGCCCATGTAAAGAAACGATTTAGTTTTATGAAACAATCTTATCCTGTTTGATTTCGTCTTTTGCACTGGGGATGTAATGGACTTACGTGCTCCTTCCTTTGTTTTGCTGTTTTAAACAATTTACTTCTCTTATTTCAAATAGAAAAAATCACCTGGGCAAGAATAGGGAGGAGGGAAGAAAAATGGGCTTCTTATTTCTGTTCTATACCTCTTCATAATCTCTGTCTCACATTTAACCTGATAAAGAGTTTTGGTAGCCTCACTGGCCTGGATTTTTGTTTTCTTAAAGAGTGATATACATTTTTGGCCAGAGTCAAGTCTTTCAAATTGCAGCAAGATTTTTTTTTCCTTGGTGTTTCCTCATTTTAT